CGCTGAGAAGCTCGTCAAATCGGATTTGCAAACAGTGGAAGCCATGATATTCGAGGTGAAGACTCTGGTGGAAGAGCTGAAGCTTCCCGACGTTGAGACACTGCCAACAAAGACCGACATCCAGGACCTGTCAATGCTCGTGACTGACTTCAGAGAGAAAGTAGGAGCCGAAAACGAGTTGACAGCGCAAGGATTCGAAGCCAGAAAGGTCGAACACGCTGGGCTTGCGGAGAAGATTGATGAGGCGAGAGCCGTGGTCGAAGGACTCGGCGACGAGCTCAAGAGCAAGCTGGATGGCAGTTCCGAGGGACTTTCCGAGCTGAAGCAACTCTTGGAAGGCTTGGCTGCTTCTGCTGAAAGTTTTACGACCGTAGAAAGCATTCACGAACTCACAGAACTCATCAACCGGGAATTCGAGCGCGTTCGCGGTGAACAAGATGCGAGCAAGCTTGAAATGGAGGAACGTGACGCCGCTGTCCTGGTCAAACATGATGAGGTTCGAGCAGCCATCATGGTAGAGCTAGGTGCAAAAATTGACGAGAAACTCGGCGAAGTCATGGCCAAGTATGATGAAGTCCACACTTCAATTGGCTCGAAGTTCACCGAAACCGAGGAACGAGACAACTCGCACCTGGAAGCTATCATAACCACCAAGGCCCTTGCCGAAGACATAAAGCTCGTCATTGGTGCCATGGGCGATAGCGTCAACGAAACGTGTGAACGCATCAGCTTGGACACAAAGACTTTCTTCGAGAAGGTCGGCGAGTCCTACACCAAGATAGAGGAGATGCACAACGAGGTGAAGACGCACCACGAGCAAGCTCGGTCCGACTTTGAACGAGCAGTCGCTGCCACCGATCGCGTGGAGAGCCAGCTGCATGAGTTCCATCCGCAGGTCTTGGAGTCGATACAGGAAATTCTCTCCATCGTTGGGAAGCACTACGATCATTCCCAGAAAGCGACGCAGGATATCAAGATGGATCTTTCCATTCTTCCTTCTACAATTCCATCGATGCTTCCAGCTCTTCCACCACCTGAGCCGGAGAAGTACGATGACACTCATGTCCGCGAGAAACTTGACAGCCTTTTGGAACATGCAAAGAACGACAAGGTGCAAGAGGCTCTCGATATCCTTGTTGAACGCGTGACCAACAACCAAGTACATGAGAAGCTTGATCAATTGCTCAGTCAGACTACGAGTACCAATGCTCAAGTTTACGACAAGCTGAATGAGCTGCTCGACCATGCCACGAACACTAACGGGCCAATTCATGAAAAGCTAGATACTCTTCTCGATCGTGCGACAAACACTGACCAGTCCGTTGCGCATATGATGAAATTAGATGAGATGCATAAGGACATCATGGAGACCTCACGCAAGATGAACGAGATGTTTGCAGCTCAATCCGCCCTCGTGGCGGAGGATACGGAGCGCAGGCGCCGGGAGGCTGAGGAAGCTGCAATTGCGCTGGAGAGAAGAAACGCACAGAAAGAGCAGGTCGAAGCCGAAATCATCAATCTCAATGAGGAGAAGGACTCTCTTCTGAGCATAATCAATACACTGAAATCCGAAAAGGAAGAACTCATCAAGCAAAACACCAAGCTTAGCAAGGAGCTATCTAGCTTGGAGATGGCACTTGAGCTCCGTCACGAGGAGATGCAGGTCATGGAGGACCGTGCTGATACTCTCGAGAAACGAATTCTGGAAGGTGTCCTTGATCATGCTCGCACGGTTCTTCTCAGCCGCCCAAGGGGTCTACAAAGCTTGAACATGAAGAAGGCGCGTGGCTCTCGTTCCCGAGGACCTAGTGCCAGTAGTACCACCAGCACAGCCAAAGATTCCCGGAGTATCATTGGGAGCAGTGTCGGCATTGCATTGAAAAAGCGAACCTCGGCTTCACCTCAGTTGGTGTCGAACGCTCCGTCAAATACAAACAAGGACCGAAGGATACTCAGCTTGAGCAATGTCACTGGCAATCGCGGCGTACCTGATCGATATGCGAGCTCGGGCAGTGGCTTTACAAATTTGAAGCGGAGTCATTCCGTGAAGTCCAACTACTCCTTGCGAAAAGCCTCATGGGGCGGTCGAAGCTCGGTAGCTAACAAGGAGAACGAGAGCTTCCCAGAGGAAGACGAGAATCAGAGCGGAGAAGAGAGTGATGCTGGTACTGAACGTAGAACCAGCTACACTGGAACGTACACGGACAGCATGATGTACGGAACCGAGAGTGTCGTCTCGGCCGATCGACGAGTGAGTTCGGCCAGTTCCACGAACATGTCAGCTGCAGCCCCTCGCTCCATTTCGGAAGATCCTGAAAATGGCGAACAACAAGAGGAGGAGGAGCAAGGAACGGTGGACCAGGATGAGGACGATGCTCAGACGACCAAGGGGAATGAGTCGGCAGATGATCAGCAGGAAGGAGAGCCGCACGACGACGAGGAGGATCTTGAGTCAAGAAAAATGGTACTCTATGGACACCACAGTGACAGCGGACTCGGTGCTGAAATTGCAAGCGCAGTGGGCTAACCGGCTGCTCACTTGACCAGCTCTGCGACACAGGCTGCCTTGTCTTGATGAAAGAATTTATTCGCCAGGGTGCCTTACGCGGGGGAAGAGCGCTTACGTTTGCCCGATGACCTAACAATCTGGACCCTGCAACTTGGAGTTGCTTTTGATGTAGCCTTTCTTTTGTCCTTTCCTTTGTTAGACGTTCCTGATGTCTATTCATTATCTACCAGAACCTGTACGAGAAGAGGGATGACAGGTGTATGTTTAGCCTCAGTAAATAGTTACGACAATTGATTCAATGAACCAAAGATACCTTACTTTAAGCCAGGTCAATTTCCTTTTATGACCGCAAATGTTAGCAATGCTGTAGTAAGAGCCCTTGGTGCCTCAGGCAGGCCCCGTGACCAGGATGGTCTCCTGATGCACCACCTGAGGCTCCTTATGATGAGTCAGCCTTCCCAACGCTTTTCCCCAACTATGGGCAGCCTGACGGAACAGGCACCACAAGGCACGCGACCAACCGCGGCCCTTGTTATATGGCTTTGCCTACATAATAATTATGCCATCCCCTCGGCTTCGCCCACTGCTGCTTCTCCTGCACCATGGCTGATCTCGAGTTGGCCTAACCGACATCTACTTCTTCTTCTTTACAATATTCTTTTCCTTTTCACTCAAGACCTGTCTCGCCGTCCCAGTTTTAGTTCCCCTAACAGGGACTGGACTTAGCGAGTCCTCTCACCAGCTGGTCTGAGTCGGCAGACATAGCAAGATCTCCCCCCCCCAACTGGGATCTATACATCGGCATGATAGACCCTATCCCGCCGCCTCCAAGGTGGCTTCGAGACTTGGTGGAACCGTGGGCCGTACACCTTAATATCCCGGCCGTAACCGACCACGTCCATGAGATCATCGCCGCCTTCGCGTTCTACCAGTTCATCCATTCATACCTATCGCCGTGGTTGTCTCCGCGGCTATTCCCTCGCCATTACCCGAACCTGAATAAGCGGACCAAGCTCAACTGGGATGTCCATGTTGTGTCCTTGATACAAAGCGTTTTGATCAACGCAGTAGCTCTATGGGTGATGTTCACAGACAATGAGCGGAAGTCGATGAGTACGGCGGAGCGGGTTTACGGATACTCGGGGGCTTGCGCGTTCATGGCGGCACTGGCGGCGGGCTACTTCATCTATGATCTGTACGTCAGTACAGTCTATGTGAAGATTTTTGGCATCGGGATGCTTTTCCATGCCGTTAGTGCCCTGTGGGTTTTCAGTCTTGGCTTCGTGAGTGGCTCGTTATTTCTTTCCTTGCCCGCATCGTTGAAAGCTCCGGTTGGAGGACTGGTTTCGAAGCCGTAATGGGAAACTAATACACTGCAGAGACCCTTTCTCCACTTCTACTCTCCGGTCTTCATCCTTTACGAGCTCTCTAGCCCCTTCCTCAACATCCATTGGTTCTTGGATAAAGTCAACATGACCGGTAGCAGACTGCAATGGTATAACGGCATGCTTCTGCTCGTCGTGTTCTTTTGCTGCCGTCTCATATGGGGCACGTGGCAATCGGTCGCAGTGTACAAGGACATGTGGTACGCTCTCAAGCAGACCTGGTCCGCATCAGAATCCGCCGCGCTTAACCCCGTCGACATCACTGCGGACGTTTTCCAAATTCGCGACGGGTCCATGTGCGTCAATGAAGCCTGTGCGAAGGCCCAGGCAGAGATCTCCAAATTCTCCAAATACACCGCCGGCGGTGTGCCCACCTGGCTGGTTGTGACGTACGTCGTGTCGAATATCGTCCTCAATGGGCTCAACTACTACTGGTTCACCAAGATGATTGATGCGGTTGTCAAACGCTTCCGCGCGCCTGCGCCGGCGGGTAAGACGAAGGAAGAGGAGCTCGCGCAGGATTTCGTTATTGAGGCTGCTACCAAGCTGGAACAGGAGGAGGGAGCTTTCACCACTGGCGATTTGGCTAGCGAGAAGATTGCGTCCGCTGTCGATGTAGGGTTGAGCGAAGAGTTGCGGAAGAGGAATCCTAACGTGCCCACCGCAGCCCGCTCTTAGTCTTCTGACTTGTAGACAGCCCAGAGGGCGGCATTTCTGCCGAGGATTGTGAGTCGTCATTGCTAGTAATTGGTTTGACTGTTTACCGTCTGTTGGTTTTTCTTGTCCAGAGTTTGCATTGCTGAACGCAGCGAGAGGTGTCTCGATTTGGTATGAGATTAATAGACTCTTATATTCAAATCACTATAGCCGCATTGATCAAGTATTTTTGCATCTCTTTAGTCATTCAGCTCATGATACTCGATTTCCTTGATTTGATCCCCTTTATTAACCTTACACAATCCGACGACAGTCTGAACCATTAGTTCTATGAATCGACCTAGTCACAAATAGAAAGAACTCGAGAAAAAGAAACCATCCCGACCAAACACCAAGAAAGCGCCTCCTTCGACAGTCAACGGAAAATAGGAACGAATAAAACCCTAACCCTATCGTGCTGCTGCTGCCTCCGGTTTGGCAAGCATGTAACGCACAGCCTCCCAGGCCACCTGCGTATCCCAAACACTCTCGGCTCCTCCTCTCCTGAATTCCGGCCCACTGCCATCCTCGCCGCCGCCGCGGGTTGCCTCGCCAAGGATGGTTTCCAAATCTCTGCGCTGAGAATTGACCCAGCGCCGCAAGAAGGTGGCAGGGTCTTTACTTAGAGCGGTGTAGAAGGAGTGCTTGGCTCTCGAATGCGTTAGAGCTTGGACAATAAGGGCCAGCTGATCATCTAGAGCAGCAATTTGGCGCAATCCCGCTGTATATTGCGGGTTCTGGGTCAAGGCAAGCATTTTGGCGCGTAGAGGGTCCTCCACTGCGACCTGGATGTCATAGACCGTTGGCGTAGGGTCCTTGTGGAAATCCTCGTCGACGCGAATCGTGTAAGGAAGCTTGATCGGATCTAGTGGACTGGTGTGCGGCCCGATGCTTTCAGGAATCTGAGGGAAAAACATCTGGTCTCGTCCGAAGATCTAAGTGGAGTCAATTAGTATAATTTCTCGCCGATATTGTGAAGCATAGGACATACCGCTCGTAAGCGATGATCACATCGTACTAGTCGTTTTTCCTCATCCTCTTGAAGTCCCATTGCTCGGATGTAGTCCCAAATACCTAGGACGATACCGCTTCGAGTCTCTTCTTCAACATCAAGCACCTCGGCCAGCTCCTTGCTTAACTTGTATCGCTCAGGGGCCTCGTCTCGGACTAAACTGATGGTGACGTTTAGATTATCCTGAGACGCACGAGAGAATTGCAGGGAATCGAAATCCGCAGTTGGAGGAAGAGTGACAGCATTTGCCGGTAGCTGCGGCTTCGTCCAGCTAATAGTCTTGGTCTCCTCCGGATTCGAAGATGGAGACTTGTCAAAATCAATAGTGATCGACTTGAAGAACTGCGAAAACCGCTGTTTTGGTCGTTTAGCAGCAGGTTTCTTCGGCTTCTCGGCAGCTTGTCCATCGTGCTCCATAGCATCTCCTTTCTCCACGGCGTTCTCGCCTTCATCTTCGCTGTCATCGGGCGCTGTAGGGTCGTTGTCATCATCCAGAAGCCGTCCTTCGATTCTCACTTTATAGCGTCCGGAGCCAGGGTTGCTACCCGGGGTTGCTCCGTTCTGGCCTGCACCGGTCTGCCATGGCTGATTCTCCACAGTGTTGGAAATCCAAATGCGCATTGTCCGATATTTTTTGACGGTCTTGCTGATCGAATCCTGAATATCCAGCCTCTTACGCACAATGGAGGCATCCAATCGCTTCTCTAAGTCACGAAGACTTTTGTATTGTTGTACTCCTTCCCCGATGACCACCTCCTCGATGCCATCCGGGATATTCTTGTCGGTGGGCTTACGACTGCGACGCTGAACGGCGTCGTTAGGATGCGGCATGTTGCGCTGAGGAGGGATGTACTGAGACGGAACTGCGTGCTGTGGCATCGGTACAGGTATAGCAGGACCTACTTCAATCAAACGGTGTTTAGGAGACAGTCTTCATTTTAAGGTTTGCCGGAATCAAGGGAGATGGGGCAAACCTACCTGGTGCTGGAGGCCCGCGACGAGGCGTGGCAGGAGACCGTTGGGCGGCTTGCGGGAAGCCACGGGCATAGTTGGGCTGCATACTCATTGGTATATCAAAAGAGAGATACCAAGTGCAGATAGCGTACTTCAAAGGCAGTTGTTTTGAAATGAATGGAAGGATATCTGGATGGGCATGAATGCCTTTGGTGTACTGTCTCCGATGCGAAAGTCGCGATCCTTTTGCCGCGATCGCGCTATACCCTTTTTGGTCAGTCCCGAGAACCTCCCTAGGTAACGTAATTTTCCCTCCAACGCAGCAGGGCTATATCAATAATTCTTACCTGGATGCAGCTACGACCATCGGAGAAGACGCTGAAGATGGTCATCGGCCATATCCAATCGGGTATAATACTACAAGCGCAATTACAGAAACCCCCTCCAAGCAGGGGTCATTTATCCCACAATCATGCTTCAATGCTATCATTTCCCAGAGATCACATTAAGTAAAATATCAGGACAATCACTCCAGCAGTAATGCCTGGTTAGTGTACAGTCCCTCCACCACATTGCTAAGCTTCTCAATTGTTTCCAGAGCCGCATCGTACGCCTGGTCACGCTCCGTCTCGTCGTAGACAATCAGGCAGCCAGCACCTTGATCCAAGACTCCGACGATTACCTTGTCCAGGATCATCTGAGAAAGCTTCCTCTCCACCTGTTGCGTATCCAGGCCAACCATCTTCGCGACGTGGTCTAGCTCAACCCGGCTAAAGGGCTCAATGACCTTGATGAGATTCTGTTCTAGCATGGCGTCGTACAATCTCCGGAGATGGTTACGGATGAAAACATCGCTTCCAAGTTCGTATCTGTAGTCTGAAAGAGCCTTCTCGTATTCCTCGAGAGAGCGGTTGGCATGGGCACGAGCCACAGCCTTCATGGCTTCAAGTCGTGGGCTAGCGTACTTCTGCGCTTGCTTAGAACCCAGCAGATTGGTGACATCATCCACCAGGTTCAGCATGATTTTACACAACAGCATGTACTGAAGAGCAGCCGTTGCCAAGTCACTCTCATCAAGCGAGCTGTATCCCTCGAGGGCCTCAATGAAGTAGGAAAATGCTGTAGTAAAGTCTTTGTCCTCTGCATGTAGCATACCACTTTGCATGTCCAGCCCGGCCTGAAGATGTGGAGGTGTGTAAACCGAAGCGGCCGATGTACGAGCAGCGGTCAAAGCGGCGCGTGCCTTGGCTTGGTTACCGAGCGCGTGATACACCCTGGACTCTAACAGCTGCACCTCAACCAACATGAGTTTGTCATCCATGCGCTTCAGCTCACGCAGGAGAGAATTAATGAGGGTAAGGGCATCATAGTAAGATTGCTTCTGCATGTATATAGCCACCAGCCGGGTTTCGAGGTTCTGTCGGAGGAAGGACCGTCGTTCTGAGACGGCCCAGTCGATGCAGGATTTGATGACAGCGACTTGGGTGTCGAGGGTATTCGGAATCTCACTGAATAGGTCAAGCAGCTGGCGGACTAGGATGACGGGTCAGCTACTCTGAGGAGTATTAACCCAACTATCACCGTGGCCATCGACTTACCGAGCTTCGCAGTCTTTGCTTTGGCAAATGATGAGAAGGTATCACGACTGGTTTTGATGAGCTCTGCAATTTCCTGTGGCTTCTTCTCATTCCGATACAACTCCCCCAATCCGATCAGAGCATTTTCATAGTCTCTCGACGAGGTCTCAGTCGAGCCTGGACCTTGCGAGAGGATATCCTTGTAAATACCCTCGGCCTTTGGAGCGTCTTCCTTCGCGAGAGCTCGAGCCTCCTCTATCCGCGCCGCTGTTGTCGACGAAGGCGCCATGATCGAACTGGTTGTGAGGGATGTAGTAGAGGGATTCTAGGTGGTAAACGGCCAAAAGAAATATTTAGGCAGTAATGACAGCTTCAATACTCGTAGAATAGCAAAAAGTCCGATGAGAACCCGATTGGGACGGGATTGAGGAGGTATTGGTTTCTGTTATTGATGGGTGGTTCACAGGCTATCGTCACACTTGGAGCTGACCAGCAGCTTGGGCTGCTCTCACCGCCCGCGGCTTAACGAATCACCCGGAAAACAACCAGCAGAAAAAAAAGCATCTGGAAATTTCAATGGCCGCCCGCCAAAGCATCAACTACCACATTCTTCATTTTCATGATCTAATAGCCCACGGTTGGAGAGCATCATGGTAAGCACCAGTATCGTAATATAATGTGAGTTTATATGTCTCTGATACATTTGCACAGAAAATCAAGGCAATTTCTCGCCCCACGGCGTCCCAGCAGGCGCCTGGCTCTGCTGTCGTTCGACAGCCCCGAAATCTGGATCCAGCCCAGCATCCGTTCGAACGAGCTCGTGAATACACCCGTGCATTGAATGCTGTCAAGCTAGAGCGACTGTTTGCCGCGCCCTTTGTGGGCCAGATGGGCGACGGTCATGTGGATGGCGTTTATACAATGGCCAAAGATCCGGGATCCTTACAACGGTTTGCGAGTGGCAGTGGTGACGGTGTCGTCAAGGTTTGGGATTTGACAACTCAAGGTGAAGTGTGGAACACTCAGGCACATGAAAACACTGTCAAGGGATTGTGCTGGACTCCCGAACGGAAATTGCTCTCGTGCGCAAGCGACAAGACCATCAAACTGTGGGACCCATACAACTCCTCACCTGAAGCACCACCATTGGGAACATATCTAGGCCAAACCGCTTTTACTGGGGTTTCGCATCACCGAAACCTGCCATACTTCGCTGCGTCGTCTTCTCAGATTTCTATCTACGATTTGTCGCGGCCGTCCTCGACACCTTCCCAGGTCCTTCATTGGCCCACTAGCGTGGATACTATCACCTCGCTTGCCTTCAATCAGACAGAAACATCCATCATTGGATCAACAGCCATTGATCGATCTGTTATCATGTATGATCTTCGTACTTCATTGCCTGTTCACAAACTTGTCCTACGTTTGGCATCGAACGCCATTTCCTGGAACCCAATGGAGGCATTCAACTTCGCGGTGGCCAACGAAGATCATAATGCTTACATTTTTGATATGAGGAAAATGGATCGTGCCTTGAATGTGCTCAAGGATCACGTCGCTGCGGTCATGGATGTCGAGTTCAGCCCCACTGGCGAGGAACTCGTGACGGCTTCTTATGATAAAACGGTGCGCTTGTGGAGCAGAGCTCATGGTCATTCCCGCGACATTTACCATACCAAGAGAATGCAACGGTATGTATTTCGCAAGCATCTGGTTCATTTCGCTTCCATTGCTCATTTGTTCGTACAGTGTCTTCTCCGCTATGTTTACGCCCGACAACAAGTACATTCTTTCCGGGTCAGACGACGGCAACATTCGACTCTGGCGTGCGAATGCCTCCGACCGTAGTGGCATCAAGAGCGCCCGCCAGAGAGCGAAGTTAGAATATGACCAGGCTCTAATTACCAGGTACTCGCATATGCCTGAAATCCGAAGGATCAAGCGCCAGCGTCATGTGCCAAGAACCGTGAAGAAGGCGGCAGAGATAAAGAGAGAAGAACTTGCTGCTATTAAGAGACGTGAGGAGAATGTTCGCAAGCATAGTAAGAAGGGTGCTCTGCCACCGAGACGGAGCGAGCGTGAGAAAATGGTCTTGACACATGAGCAATAAGCTCTGCAAGTCTGAGGACTTCTCTTGATTGTTGAATCTTGAGAGTGTCAACTTGCCAACATTTGTCTTCCAAAGGCAATCCCGTTCGATGACAATCGACGATAACTTAAGGAGTCTATACGGTTTACACAGCATATCACGCATCCTTTTTGTGGTCGTCGTCTTGCTCAAGGCATTGAATCATCAATCGCCCTTCTTGACTTTCAGTTCATCTGGGGATATCTTACTCGACACACCATGTTTTGACTTGCGTGCTTCAGATGACCCTTCTAAAGCAGCATGGTCGATACCGCTCAGGTAACGGGCAATTCGCTGTATGCTGGCAGGCAGTACGGCATACCAGTCGATGAAAACGGCGAACGCGGGCAGCCGGATCAGCCCACCTTGTCCTTCGTCTATTGCGGTAATGATTTTCTGAGCGACATGGACTGGTTCAAGAACTGGGGCAAAGAACTTGTTTGGCGTCTTAAACGATTTGAACAAAGGCGTTGATATCTGCCCTGTCTCCACCAGCAGCATTTTCACTATCTGATCATTTCTCGACACACGAAGCTCAGCTTCCAGCGTCCGATGAAGGGCGCTAAGACCTGCCTTGCTCGCAGAGTAGTCTGACAAGCTGGCGGCGGAGAGGTGGCCCAGGACAGAGCTGATATTGACGATGGTACCTCCATTCTGAGCGGATAACATTCCGGGAAGAAATACTTGGCAAGTGTGGAAGACTGCGAGTAGATTGGTTCGGATTGTTTTCTGGAATGCCTCTGCAGATAGAGACAGGACTGGTTGACCGTTAATTCGTGCCGCCGCGCAGTTGATAAGCACAGTCGGTGTACCCAGCTAAGGAAGATTAGCATCATTCTGTAAATGATCATACCATCTATCTTCTACAGGGATGTGGTCTCGCGTAGCAATTTCATACCTCTTCCGTAATTCTCCTTGCCGTCTTCTCCACCTCTTCTCGCTCAGTAATATCACACTGATAGTAGTCCACTCCCGTCACTTCTTCCCATCCCTCGATATCACTCTCAGCCTTGATGTCCACGACGGCCACACTAACTCCACGTAATCCATATATCCGGGCAATGAGTAAGCCAAGGCCACTCGCACCGCCAGTCACAACAACAACCTCTTCGCTTAAGTCAACAGGTCGGGGAAGCCCATGCGCCAGTCTCTGGTTCATCGCACGGGCAAGAGCCAAGACCGTGAGGAAGACCGCATAGCACGTCGCGATCATGAACGAGATATGGGTGTAAGGAGTGGCCTGGGCTCGGAGGCTCAGCACCCCGACCCAGGCGACGAATGGGTGGAAAAGAGTGCGATTGAGGACCGTCAAAACAAGGTCGAATGTGAGTTGTTCAAGCCATCCTTTATCGGGTGACTGCGAGATGGACGAGGGTGATGCGGTGGACATTATGTGTGATGGACCTAGGTCGGTTACCTTTCTAACATAATCAATGGTTATATCTTCGACATCAGTATTACTTTTCTTGGGAATTGTAGCACGACCGAACTCAGTATTGAACTGTAGAACTCCAGAGACATGTGATTTATGCTGTTAATCGGAGTACTCCGTCATAGCAGGCAGGCGTGTGACGAAATGGAGGAATTATTCGAAATGCGACCCCTGCCGCGGTCCACTATATGCAAATATTCAGGAGTCGTCTAGACATATAGCATTCACTGCTGTATCAATAAACTGAACAAGGTACAGTATGAAGGGCAGAGAATTGGGAAAAAATGACGTGCGGAGATGTGGGGTGAGAGGCTGTCACTCAGCTTCCTCCTATTTTAACCAGGATGATAACATATTTCATCAGGATGCCACAGGCAGAGACTGATACGAAGTGTACTTAGTTTGAACTTAGTTCCTTCTAGAGCGGGCCTCACTATTATACTCTAGCACTGAGCGTTGTATGTTCTATACGACCATCGCCGGCCATCTTCTTGTATATATCTCCTCCTACCAATCGACTCCCTCGAAGTCCGGCATAATGCCTCCTTCACTAACAACGCAAATCACACAGATCCAAGGTGTAAGACTAGTAGGTGCCAATGATACAGAATGGGATATTACCATCAAATATCCGGAAAAGCCAGCCAAAGGCACAATCATCGCAATCACCCCCACCCGCAGCTGCAACTCATCACCAGACGATAACTCCTCTTCCCTGGCGCTTCCAGCATTGACCCATCCTCACATTCACCTCGATAAGGCCTATGTCCACAGCACACGCGAATACACACATCTTCTTCCATCGGAAGGCTCCTTCCAAGAAGCGTTGTCCTTTACCACCCAGGCCAAGAAACAGTTCAATCCGGCCGATCTCATGAAAAGAGGCGAATGGCTTCTTGCGGAGTCGGTTTCTGCTGGCGTTACAGCAATGAGGGCGTTCGTGGAGGTTGATCACACCGTCAAACTGACATGTCTTGAAGCTGGTCTCAAACTCAAAGACCAATGGAAAGAATGCTGCGACCTTCAGATCGTCAGCCTCGCTCAGGATCCCATCTTTTCCAGCGAATATGGCGATGAAAATCGCGATTTGATCGAGGAGGCTCTCCAGCGCTATCCACAAATAGATGTCATCGGAACGACACCCTACGTTGAATCGAGTACGGACGCTGCGAGACGAAACATTGACTGGGCGATCGAAACAGCCCTCAAGCTGGACAAGCATGTCGACTTCCATCTAGACTACACCCTAGATAGCAGCAAGGAGGCTCTAGTGTGGTATGTCCTGCAAGCACTTCAACGCAATAAGTGGACGAGCCAGTCAAGTAGCAGACGGGTCATGTTGGGGCATTGCACCCGCCTGACTCTCTTCACTGATGAAGAATGGTCAGATTTGGCCAAAAAAATTCGTAACAATGACCTTCCCGTGAGTTTCGTCGGTTTGCCAACCAGCGACATGTACATGGCCTCGGCGTCTCCCGCAGCCAACGCTCCTCACAATCGGCCAAGAGGCACCCTGCATGTCCTTAAGATGATACGCGAGCATGGTCTAGATGCTATTATCGGAGTCAATAATGTCGGAAACGCCTTCACACCCTGGGGCTCTGCAGACCCACTGTCCCTTGCTTGTCTAGGCGTGGGAATCTACCAGGCCGGAACGCAGAAAGATGCAGAATTGTTGTACGAGTGTGTATCCACACGTGCGCGTGCCGCAATCGGACTACTGGGCAGCCGGGGTGGATCGGGTTTGATGCTCAAGGAAGGAGATCAACCTGATCTAATCTTGCTCCACAATGTGGACGACACAGGATGCAACGTATCAAGGCCAAGAAGGAGTGTAGCAGAGGTTGTGTGGGATCCGCCGGCAAGGGTGAGCAGGCATGTCATCTGCAATGGCCACCTGAAACTGCCATCACATCCCACGTATCCGGAGACAGCACGCTATTATTTTAAGGATAACGACGCTTGACGTACTGAATAATGCGAGTAAGTCGCTCGAGCCATTGTTTGCCTGACGACTGTAAATACAGATAGAACTGTGGCTGAATAACGCGCCTCATGAATGTTTCCAATCCAGTACATCATGCCTGAAGATAATCTGCACAACTCCATGTCCGCTAGCATTTCAAAAAGTCACATCATGCGGTAAGAAGAGCGTTCTGATGAGACATGAATCAAAATAAGTAATATAGAAGAGCAAGGAATCAAGATGAATTGAGTCAGTACCCTCACGCAGCCCCCCATACAGGTGCAGTTTCATTGGCCTCGGCGCGAGCTTTGGCTGGTCCATGCAATGCATAGCTAAATGTGGGACAAGCTGGGTCTTCACGCATAATGTCAATATCGTCGACGTTGACCGAAAGACGGAACCCGTTTCCAGCGCGTGGGTACAGTCGATGCTCTTGAAACTCCTCGTATTCTGACTCTTCATCGGACTCGTACCGGTGTCTCTTCCGTGAAGAAGAAGCCGATGGCAATGGTTTCTCAGTATTCTTGGTACTCGGCTTCTCAGAAGTCGTGTCTTTCTCGGTGTGGGAGACCGGTGTTTCGGTTGTCGTAAGTGTCTGGGTGGAAGTTGCTGCTGAAGCTGGGCCAGCTGATATATTTGAGGTGAATAAGAATTTCGACGACTGCAGTTCCTTTAAGTTGCTTGGGAACATCGACAAGGAGGGATTCCGGTCTGATATAGTGACAAGAAGCTCGACGAGACTTGCGTGGGAGAGGCTCGACAAATAACCCCGCCGCTCCTCCGCTGAAAAAAGCTCGCCTCCTACTTCGATCTTGGGACAGGGCACATGGTGATGTATTGGAGCCAATGTCTGAGCTTGTAAATCAGGATTGCTCCTCACAACTGTTGGCTGGACGATGGAAATTTGCACAGGCTTGCATTCCCGGCAGTGCCATTCCTTCTCCACCACGTTCACAACATCAGAGTCGATCGGAGGGTCATGACAGAGTTGATGCCATGCTCGATTACACCCGTCGCAGAATACAATAGCATTACTCCGCGGGCTATGACCTCTTTGGCAATGCATACAGTTGACATACGTCTCCTTCGACTCGCGAAAAACGCGCTTGTGTCTTCGCGCACCTGTAGTTTCTGAGCCATGCGAGGACGTGCCGTTCGCCTTGGAAACGGCTGGAGATGAAGCCGGAGGCACATATAATGACGGTCGGTTCACTTGCCGGCCGGACTTTGTTTGAGTGGCGGTAGGGGCGATGTCGGATTCATCCGAACTGGAGTCACCAGCCCTTATGATGTCTTCGCCGTCACTATCACCACCGCGTCTTCGTTTCCTCGATCTTCTAGACCCATTTGAAGCATTTTTGCGTGAGCGTGGTTTGGGGGTTGCTTTTTGTGGGTTGCCGCCTGGGACCTTTGCAGCCTTCGGGGCTAATGGGACCAGAGGCGCCTTAAGGATAAGAGCCGTAGGCTGTGGTTGGAATGTTGGTTGTATTTGAGATGGCGCTGATGGGACCACAGGAGCCTTAGAGATAAGAGCCGTAGGCTGTAACGGGAGCAGAGGAACCTTTGGGATCAGAGCGGTAGGCTGTGATGGCAATGTTGGTTGTATTTGAGACGGCGCCGATGGCGCCGATGGGCCAGCTGATACTGTTACACTTGGCTTGGGAGCAATAGCAACGGGCTTCTTCAGCCTCGAGGAGCTTTCCTCAGACGTTATAGGGGGTTGGTTGGAAATTGCTGTAGGTGCCAATGTATTGTTCGTATAAGCGAACGGCGCCGTTGGCAGCTCTATGATTGTGGAAGAGGCCTTCATCGTGTTTGGCCTTTGAAAATTCAAACTGTCCAAGCTTGGATCAAAAGTTGAGGTGCCCCAACGGGTAGCGAAGCTATCATTGTTCTGCTGGTCTCCTCTTATGTTACCAGCGATCCGTGCTAGGAGCTCTGTAGTGGCCGCCGAAAGTTTCGGTATTTGCACTTTCCCCCGAACCGTACCTGTCGAACAGCTCGTTTTCGATGATAAATCGATCGAGGAAGGAGGAGTACTATTGGCTGTGTCTCCTTCAACTGTCGAAACTGATGGATGGGGGCTTGAGGTGGTGCTCGATGTTCCGTCTAAAGTAGATGCCAGGGAAGAAGTAGCCCCATTTTGCCGTGACATTCCCCAAATCTAAACTGAATAAGCAATGTTGCACGGGGTATAGATGTGCTTGTCAATCTCTTCAACTTTGATTAATTGCTGTCACTGAGTAGCAAAGGATATGGCAGGGTGAACGGATCCAGATTTATATACTCTCACGTGATTGTAAATTCCTCCCCGCGCAGTTGAGGAATCCCAAGCCCGTAACTTGTTATCGGGTCATCAACCTTGACGATAATCTATTGAAGGCTTGCTGTTATACAATCATTTCATCATTCCTATCAAATATTTCTAAAGCTAAGTACGTCCATGGATTCTTACGGCCGCCGTCGTGCTTCGTCCCCAGTTACAAAGGGATTCGCTCCCTCAGGGACGTGTCCATACTACAATCTCCAATCCCCACATAATCGGAGTTCACCTATGTGTTGGAGATGACTCGCCACATGTCATGACACAATGCCCTCGTTTTTGAGGAGCTCAATCTTGGCTTTATCATAATTGAGGATGTCTTCGAGGATTTCGTCGGTGTGTTGGCCAAGAGTCGGAGGCGGTCTTCGGACTCCAGGAATTGCGTGCGAATACTTAATCGGAGTGTTAACTAATTTGATGGGACCACAAGCTGGATGATCAACTTCTGTAACCATTCCTCGCGCTTGCACTACCCGGACGATCCCATGTCAGTGAATGGCTCCATCTGGTCGTTAGACATCGTCGGATGACTTACCATGAGAATGATTGAGTGTTCCTTGGATGTCATTGATCGCGGCATATGGCATCCCGCTGCCTTCCAGGATCTCGAGCCATTCCTGCGTGGTTTTCTGCTTAACTGTTCTCTCAATCAAGCCATCAAGCTCTTCCCGATGCTTTACTCGGTCGCGGTTGGTGATAAAGCGAGGATCCGTCTTCCATTCGGGGAACCCTAGTCGATCGCATAAGACCCCGAATAGCCTGTCGTTTCCGCCACCAAAAAGAATATCACCATCAAGGGTCTGATAGCTTCGGTAGGGTACAATTGATGCTTGACGCTGCCTGTTAGCGATTTAGAGCTCACCAACTGCCGGTTATCTACCATGTCCATGAACTTACGGTGTGCAGTTCCCCATCTACCCGAGTCCTTCTCTCCACTGATCAGAGCCGAGCTCGCGATATTCGCCAAAGTCGCAACTTGACAATCGCTCAAACAAGCATCGATGTGTTGTCCTTGTCCGGTCCTCATGCGGGCGAGCAAGGCAGCCATGATCGCATTGGATGTATACAACCCTGTTGTCAAATCCGTAACAGCTACACCGACCTTGACTGGATCGCCGTCTCTGCTTCCAGTGATGTGCATGAGTCCCATCTCTGCTTCGACCATGACATCGTACCCAGCTCGGTTACTGTATGGCCCTGTTTGGCCGTACCCTGTGATACTTGCATAGATCAATCTGGGATTGATAGATCGTAGCGTTTCGTAATCGAGACTGTACTTCTTCAGGGTTCCTGGAAGGTAGTTCTCGACTAGGACGTCGCACTCCCTGGCAAGCTTGTGTAAAATCTCGATTCCGGACTTATGAGCAAAGGAAAGGCCGATGGATCTTTTGTTGCGGTTCACCTGGCGCACATGTAAGTTGGACGCTCATCATTTATTCTGGAGGTCACATACAGCCAGAAAATAGGCGCTTTCCCCAGGGCCTTCATGAGACCCATCGGTATACTTCGCGTATGGTGGTCCCCAAGCACGAGTATCGTCACCGCGCACGGGATGCTCCACTTTGATAATATCTGCTCTGGCTCAAAAAGGACCGACGTTAGCAGTTGGTTGCCAGATAACCATTAATGTATTAGCATTCAACATACCCCAGATCTCCGAGAATTTGTGTACAGTATGGCTACGGCGCGTGGTAAGAATCAGTATGGACTCTGGTATCGACCAGAGAGAATAAACAGGGAACTCACTCCAGCCAATACTCTCGTCATGTCAAGCACTCGGATGCCTTTGAGAGGAAGAGTGTCATCGCTTGTAGGGATTGCTGAGAAGCGTCGCCCTTGCGGCGTGCACTTGAGAATAATAGTTCTCGATGGGTACAGCGAAGGCCGACGAGCCATCGCCCGTTGTAACATCCATGCGGCATTCATCTTTCAAGGCTTAGCCACTGCGCATGTATAATAGCACTTAATGGCATATCAATTGGAAAATATCACAATTACTGACAGCCCTCCGTAAGGCAGGCGATGCAGACGTGACCTTGATAACTTGAAGGCCGAAGCCGCTCTTTATGGTTGATCCGGGGATTTCCCCGATGGCCGACGGCAGACCAAGCCGAGGTCAGCTACTGAGCTGTTTCGGCATCTCTTGCCCTTACCTACCATCTTATCACGATAATCGGATCTCGAGCAATTCCCTCTACTTAAAATATGTTCACTGGCCTCGTTGAGTACATTGGGAGTGAGTCCTCTCCATCTATGAAAATATTGTATCGGAAACAAGACTAATTGGGTCTGTTGCACCTTCTAGCGGTTACGTCTCTGGAGCCCCTCGACACCTCGTCAAGTGGGGGCGGGGGAACATCGCTGACCATTTCTGATTGCGAAGAGATCCTCAAAGATGCTCACCTTGGCGACAGTATTAGTGTAAATGGTATGCACTTCACTTGCCCTTGATACTTAGCAACAGCAAGTAATAGCAAAGCTGTTGAAATATCCGGTGTCTTTCTGTCATTCGTCTCATCTGCAAGCGCATCAAAGAGCTTAAGCTTCCCTCGACAATGGAGACCTAATAAACTAATCTATCAAAAGGAACCTGCCTGACAGTAACCGCATTTGATAAGACCTGGTTCAAGGTCGGCGTCGCCCCCGAGACTCTTCGCCGGACAAACCTGGGAGCATTGGAAAAGGGCTCCCGGGTAAATCTTGAGCGGGCCGTTCTGGCAGAGACGCGGATGGGCGGTCACTTCGTACAGGGTCATGTCGACACTGTCGCAAAAATTCTCTCCGTCACTCCGGATCAGAACTCCTTGGTATTCCGACTACAGCCTCGCGATCAGAGTGTAATGAGGTATATCGTGGAGAAGGGCTTTGTCACACTGGATGGAGCCAGCTTGACGGTGACCAAGGCTGTGGATGGGCCAGACGGGTACTTTGAGATCATGCTTATTGCCTACACACAAGAGAAGATTGTGACAGCTGCTAAGAAGCCCGGGGATTATGTCAACGTAGAGATTGACATTGTGGGCAAATACGTCGAAAAGAGTGTCCAGGGTTACTTTGCTGGAACCGCTGGAGGGGACATCAGCATCTTGGAGAAGATGGTGTCTCGCATTGTAGACGAGAAGCTAAGGCGGTGATAAGCACCAAATCAACACAGTCTGACCGTCTTGAATAATGGGATTGCGCTTCAGAACTAACCAGGATGACCTAATTCATAATGTCTTCCATGTATCGTACCTGGGACCATGGAATCGATCACACCATGACAAGACTCTACCGATGCTCATGAACGGGAAGTCGAAGAAGTCAACAGTGGTGCATGTCATACAACACTTCACATACTGTTTGCATAAGACAGGTAGATTTTAAGTATGTCAAGTTCATTATAAGGGCGTAAGGGACGCAATGGTCATCTTATGCACGGCACAATGAGGTGCCTTCAGCGGCATGGGCAGAAGGGTGATCACCACATCTGAGTTCCTATACATTCTTGTTGAGGACACTCGACAAAGGGTATAAATTCGTCCTACCAAAGACACAACTCATATCTGCCTCATAAAACACCATTACTCCAAACTTTTATGCGAAAAAACCGCCTCTTCCGTAGCTACCATAGGTTGAAGGGTTGTATGCGAATCAGCCTCTCCGCCTCATTCTTCCATGGACTCATCGTCATCGTCGTTATCCTGCGCCTGGATTCCCTCTTCATCGTCTTCCAGGTCATCGCTGAGCCAATCATCCTCGTCATCCATATCCACGTCTTCTTCGTCCTCGTCATCTTTGCCGCCCTTTCCTTCAGCTCGAGCTTTGGCCTTCTCCTGCTTCTTCTTCTCAATGTTCTGTCTTTGCTGCTTCTTTCTCTCTTCCTTCTCCTTCTTCTTCTTGGCCCAATTCTTATCCAATGATTTGACCTCCTTTTCTGACTTTCTGATGTAGTCGTGCCACATTATTCTGCCCTCACAAAGACCTTCTTCGACCTTGATTAGACGAAGCTTCAGGCGTGGACCCAGTTCGACGAGCTTGACCGCGCGTTTCTCCACCTCTGGGGCATTGGCTTTCTGGGCCTTCGCTTTCTCGCCGGACTTCATGCGCTGCAATTCTCTTTTTGTCAAGACCTTTTTTGTGGTGCTCTCTGCAATCTCGACCTCAGCATCGGTGTCCAGTTCCGTCTCGCTCGCCGAGGTATAGCCGGCGGCTGATGGGTCAAGAAGATAGTCGGCGGCATCTTCCAACTTCCCCAGGTTTGGGACGGCGGACTTTTTCTTCTCCCGACTGCGAATTTCCTTGGGGTCCAAGCGTCGGATACGCTTCGAGATGCCTGTCTTTTTGGTGCTGATGGCATAATGTCTTAGATTCAAAACATAGGAATCTTCCTCTTCCTCTGATCCGGCGGTAAGTTCGCGATTCAGAAGCATCACACGGCGAATGGAGGAGAGGGGAGTAGCCTGAGGATTGATGGGTGGGAAAAGTGACTGAAAGATAGTTGTTGTAAGGCTCTCTAGACGTTTCGGTACTTTCGAATCCTCAGTAGCATTTGGTGAGTTAAAATTGTTCATCACTAGCAAAGGAGGTGTTTTGTGATCCTGGCCACCACCTCTTGGGCGCTTCAAGGCCTTCTCAACGTCTCTGCACAGAGAATAGCTTTCGACTTTGAAATGAAGGGTCGGACCGCGGGGCGTAAGCGCCAATCGCATGTTAGTATTTCCTGTAGCTGATTTTGAGAAAAGCATAAGATGAGTGACACCCAAAGGGCCCGTCATCGCCGTGTAGTCTCTGAGTCGATTGGATTTCCGTTCCTGAAGTGGCCGATCATCAGTTACTGACTTCAGAAACACGCCAGCCTGCTCGAGGACACGCTTACCTTCAATCGTACAGCTGTATCTGGCTCCATCATCAAACGGACATCGTTGACCAGTTGGCTGACACTGGAACCAACCTGCGAAGCGCCGACTCTGATAACCATAGACTTCGGAGTTTTGCTCATACTGCCTTTGGCGGCGGCAGACGCATTTTGAGCCCGCACATGTGTGCGCTTCTTCGTTCGTGCCTTGGTCATTGTAATAGAAGCCCAGATATGGGAATATTGGGAATAAAAATGAGTCCCAATAGCTTCCTCTGCTGTCTGGACAAGAGTGTGACTTTTCTCTTAGGTCCAGAAAAAAGTAGATTTGTTGGAGCAAAGCCGCGGAGGAGCTCGGATCAACAATTTTGCGGCGCCCAAAAATTATTTTTCTTTACTGATACATAGAAGAGCAGATCAGAAAATCCAACGAAATCTATCGATCAGTGCTTTGAAAATTATCTGACCGCAATGCCGGACGTCAAGAAGCGCAAGATCGCCCACGAGGCTCCAGAACATGAGAGTGACGCCGAATCAACAAGTTCTCAGGAGTCCGTTGCTCAACAACATAATACTGCTGAGACGCAAGATGAAGCGGCGTCCACAGAGACAAGGCCAGCCCCTAAGAGCTTCAAAGATCTAGGGATCATCGATCAATTATGCGAAGCATGTGAAACGATGGGTTACAAGGCTCCTACGCCGATTCAAGTCGAATCGATCCCTTTAGCACTCCAAGGTCGTGACTTGATCGGTTTAGCAGAAACCGGAAGTGGAAAGACTGCGGCTTTTGCTCTTCCTATATTGCAAGGTATGGCTCCATCAGACCTCATAATCCCTTGAACGTCTTGGTTCTACGATCAATGTCTGCTTTCTGGTCGTTCTCGGTATCTGACAAGCCACCCACAGCTCTAATGGAAAAACCACAATCCTTCTTCGGCCTCATCCTCGCACCTACGCGAGAATTGGCCTTTCAGATCTCACAATCCTTTGAAAGCCTTGGCTCTACAATCAATGTTCGATGTGCTGTGATCGTCGGAGGTATGGACATGGTCTCACAGTCGATCGCGCTTGGAAAGAAACCTCATATCATCGTCGCTACGCCTGGTCGGTTGCTAGACCACCTGGAAAACACCAAGGGCTTCTCGCTACGAACTCTTAAATACCTCGTCATGGATGAGGCCGATAGACTTCTTGACATGGACTTCGGCCCCCTTCTCGACAAAATCCTCAAAGTTCTCCCCAGAGAGCGGCGCACATTCCTTTTCTCTGCAACCATGAGTTCCAAGGTCGAGTCGCTGCAACGAGCGTCGCTCTCAAACCCGCTACGCGTGTCTATTTCGTCAAATAAGTACCAGACCGTCTCGACACTCCTGCAGTCATATCTCTTCCTTCCCCACAAACACAAAGATATCTACCTGGTTTACCTCCTCAACGAATTCGCCGGTCAGTCCGCAATTATCTTCACTCGCACTGTTCACGAGACACAGAGAATCAGCTTTCTCCTTCGGTCGCTCGGTTTCGGCGCCATTCCGCTACATGGTCAGCTCTCCCAGTCTGCTCGATTAGGCGCTCTTGGGAAGTTCCGTTCCCGCAGCCGTGATATTCTCGTCGCGACGGACGTCGCCGCCCGTGGTCTTGATATTCCCTCTGTCGACGTCGTGTTGAATTTTGACCTGCCCACCGACTCTAAAACATATGTTCATCGTGTAGGCCGTACGGCCCGTGCGGGAAAGAGTGGTGTTGCTATTAGCTTTGTGACGCAATATGATGTCGAAATCTGGGTACGTATAGAGGGAGCACTTGGGAAGAAGCTCAAGGAGTACGAGTTAGAGAAGGACGAAGTAATGGTCCTGGCTGAGCGTGTCGGAGAGGCTCAACGGCAGGCTATTGTGGAGATGAAGAACTTTGATGAGAAGAGAGGCACCAGGGCCAAGAAATTCGGCAAAGGAAAACGCTCCCGAGATGAGATGGATCAAGAAGAAGGCTAAGGTGGAAGTATAGAATTCAAAAAAGTCGCTAACTACTCATTATGATGCCAATACCCAGACGAGATGACCAGAATTTTCAATGACTTCCTTACATTATCGAA